AGAGCTCATTGGTCGCGTAGGTGAGTCCATACAATTGCTTCCTACACTTTTTGGGGGTTGTCGATCGCTGTTATATTTTGGTGCAGACGTACTCTGCATGATCCAGATTTATCAAATTTATGGAAATGCGAGAGGCAGTTTCATTTCTGTCTGTCTTTTTTATTTCCATCCATTTCGGTTGAGTCCGAAGTTTTGACTAGTGACTTCGTTCTTTGCCTCTTGTTTTGCTGAAATTGACATCTATAACCCTTTTCCGGTTTCTTGATGTCTCTATAGTCTGACTCACTGATGCTTTTCATGTCTTTTGTATCGTGTTCAGGGGTTTAATTTTGTTATACTTGAGAAGCGACGCTAGTATTTCAGTGAGGAGGTCGACGCTTACTTCTATTTTCGAAGCTGCGATGGCGAGTTCTGGACATCCCTCACAGCGTGTCGACATTTCAGCATCTAATTTTTTGTGGCTGATATTAGCAGTGAACTGCTTTCTTCAGGGTCGGCGGTCGTTGGCCCATCACGTCCAGCTGAGGGCGAGTTAAGTATTTCCGAAAGATTTTTATAAAGGGAAATGGAAAACGGTTTAAAAATAAGTGATAAATCTCCTTTTCCTGAGTATATCTTATTTTCGTGGACGAGTCAGATCCTTCGTTAATCTCCGGATAGGGGTTTCCTGAGAGCCTCCGTAAAGGATGAATATAACGCCGATAATTGGTTCCGTGAAAGCGGGGGTTGCTTGCACTTCTAAACTGATTCTCGATTTATTTCGATACGGCGTAACGCTGGCAGAGACGCTGGCAGAGACGTTGACCGAAAAGTTAAAACTTGGAAAGACAAGTAAATTCTTGTCGATGATATCATTGCTCATGGCAAATTGATTGAAGAGCACAATAAAAATTCACGAGAGGTATTTTAACGATCGAAGTATGCTGGTCTCGCGTTAAGAACGGATAACTGCAAGATTTTGCAGCAGCAATCCCTGTTCCTTGGGCACGTCATATCGACTTCGAGTATACATGCGGACCTGGACACAACATCTCACATACTCGAATGGCCGACACCCAAGACTGGAGAGGAAGGGCATACTTTTCTCGCATCGCGTCCTGTCACAGGAAGTTCGTCCGGGAGTTCGTTGGTGTCGCCGTGCCCCTGCACCGGATGACCGAGGAGTCAAGACACTTCCTTAGGTCTAAATAGTGTAAGCAAATCTTTGCCCAACTCAAACATGCCTTGATCTCCCCTCCTATCATCAATCTTCCAAACGTCTCTACGTCGTCTGGTGAATTTGTTCTGGTCACCGATGCGAGCGAGATAGTGATTGGGGCTGTTCTCTCCCAAGTGACCGCCAATGATGAGAAGACGATCGCATTCACCAGTAGACAGTTAAGCAAACAAGAACGACGGTATAGTACTACGCGCCGTGAGATGATAGCTAGGGTGTACTTCGTCAAATGTTTTTGCCCCTCCATCCTAGAACGTCACTTTGAGGTCCACACGGACCATAATGCTCTACAATGGTTACAAAACTCTCGTGGTCCTGAAGGACAGGTAGCACGCTGGCAGCGACAACTATATGAATACGATCTTCATTGTGTATACCGCCCAGGTCCGAAACACCAGAACGCTGACGCCATTTCTCAGTGCAGACCAGCAACTGATGGAGCCGTGAATGCCATCCTCACCTCAGATGACGCACAGCAGTTGGCAGCCCTCTAAGTGGCGGACCCTGATTTTGGCGCAATTTATGACCGGCAGCTACATGGATCTCGGAAACCGACTGGCAGGGAGATGAAAACGAAGTTAGCTGCGTCGCGTGCGTTGCGGAGTAACTGGGTCAGGTTGCGGATACACAACGATTCCATGTTTTATGTGGAGATGCTGATGAGCCCCTGCAAGTGGTCGTATCGAGGGCGAAAGTACAGGCCATAAATGACACTCATAGTCAACTCGCGCATGAGGGTCAAATTAAGACGGAGGCAGCTTCTCGCAGACGCTTTTGGTGGTCAGCAATGCATCAAGATGTAGCGTTATACTGTCGTGACTGCTAGGTGCGCACCCAGATAAAGTCGCCTATCCCCGCACCACGAGCGCGGTTACAGCTTATCGCACTGGACGGACTCAATCACAGAATCAGGGTGGAGATTATGGAATCATTTCCGACTATCTGTTGTGGTAATCGGTTTATACTAGTCAGAGTTGACTACTTAACTAAGTAGTGAGAAGCGATACCACTACAAAATCAGGACGCGAGGTCAGTAGCAACGGCCATAATCAACGATTGGGTTAGCCGCTATGATTTGCTCATGATAACACACTCTGGCGGTACACGGCGTTCGAGAACCATCTCTTCGCCGAGCTGTGCTCTCTGCTCCAGATAAGGAAGATGAGAACCACGACCTACAACCCAGAAGGGAACGGAATGGTCGAGCGAACAAACCGGGGGATCAAGAAAATCTTGTCGACATTGGTCAGCCGTTGGTTCGTCGATGTCTGGGATAGATAGATAGATAATTTGAACAATTGCCACCGTGTCTGTTAACCTATCGGAGCGCTGTCCACGACGGGACCGGGTTTTCTCCTGCAGTCCCTCAGTTTGGCCACAAACCGCGATTTCCGGCGGATGTACACTTTCAACGGATTCCCGCCGAGGCCATTGGTATGGGACAGTACACCCGAGCTCTCAAGGAAGGACTCGTCGTAGCGAATAGGCTCGCTGTCGAAAACATTCAAACAGCACAACAACACCAGAAAGCTTTCTACGGCTGAGACACATCAGGGCCAGAGTATCATGCTGGTGATTCTGTGCTGTTGTTTAGACCACGACCATCCATCGGGACGGCTTCTAAATTTCACCGGCCATGGCAAGGCCCGTATACTATCGTCTACCAGTCCTCCACAAACACGTGTGTGCCTTGCGACTTGCAAAGGCTCTCTGCCCATGTCATCGCCGTCCACTATAATCAGATTAATCCGGCGCTCTGTCATTTAACAACCTTGGAAACATCACTTACCCCCGTCTCCACTGACGCCCTTCCACTCGTTTCATGGATGGTTGAAATCACTACGTAGACATCCTTGGAAAAAATGGTTTCGAAACACTGGGACAGCGTTTCTTCTGGGAGCGGGCAAAGTAACTGCGCAGAACGTTTTCTGATGCTCTTTGTGTATACCTTTTATCTCTTTTCAGGGAAGCCTCTAGCAAGCGCCATGGCGGACCACACTGATACGGAACCGGACGAACCGGCTGTTTGAACGGGTCCGCAACCTTTGGCGAGGCTTGTGAAAAAGCGGCTAGTAAGAATCGAGTGGTGGCTAATTCGTCTCCTTTTTTGTTATCTCTCGCTCTGCTCTTTCGCCTGATGTGCGTTTGCTGTCATTGATCTCGACCGGTCGTTAATTTTCCGCCTAGACATTTGTCCGCCTAGACATTTGTCCGCCCAGCATTCCGCCCCAAGTAACATAACCGATCCGACCAGGACCAGGAGGACCAGGACTAAACCCGGGAATTGACGAACGCATTCACCTTGAAAATTTTGGTCTTGCGATGCTTTCGGTCGGTAATAGTTTATGGACGCAGTCAACGTTAAAAACGTTGACATCGTTAACATTTTGGTACATTTTACCTTTGTATTGTAACGGGTTGCCTAAGCGTGTCCACATCTTTGATATTTCGTACTTGATCGAGTTCCTTTCTGGCATACTCCGCGTTTCACAATAACTGGATGTATCATTCAAGCATAATTTCACAAAACTCAAACTCAAGAAGGATTGTAGACGTCATTGCGGCTGGCGTGAAAATCTTCAACGAGTTGCCTGATGGTCTGCGAAAACAGTCCACGAATTGGTATCATTAATCACTCGCTTCGAGGGCACCAATTAAAACTGTGCTTTCGGCGGAGAAGGAGAGGTGTGCAGAAGTTCCCTCTTTCTGTCAGAGTGGTCAAACCACGAAAAGCCTTCCCCGTAGTTTTGTGGTTTCATCCTCAAAGGAGAAATTTAGGAGGAATCTTGGCAGATTAAGGTACCAAAACAAATAAGAACGATCACAAATTGAATCCGACTGTTTGAAACTGACGCCCTATTTGACATACATTTATGTACAAAGCTGAGCTATTTTAGTCCACATGTTTTCTCTGTATGCTTCAACAAATCATCAGTTAAAGATAGGGTAATCAAAGACCCATGCATATTTCCCTTTATAAAAGGAATCGAGCTGAACATGCTAACGTTACTTCTACTACAAGTGTTATTAATAAACCATGTTAAAAATAAAAGATAATCCACCTCCCGGACGGAGACATGGCCTCGTCAATCCAGCTTGGCCACGCTGTTATTATTATGAAGTAGTGCACTAGCTGCAGTATATCGGTTCGTAAAATTGTAACTCACGAAGAGCCGTGGAAATATTCGACCAATAACTCTCCAGCACGATGATACCCGTCCGCATACGGCATACTTTATTCACTCGCGAGGGGAAGCGCTCGGAGATTAAGGTTGAGGTGTAGGGAGTACGATATCCGCTGATTCCTGCTTCGTGTGCAGACACAATTCACTGTCCCCGGCTTCGAACTTCAAAGGGGCACACCTTATTCTCGTCACTACGGCTCCAGTCTCTTCTTCCGCTCGTCCCTTTTCTGTCCTCTTAAAAAAACCTGTCTTTCAGAGTCTTACACCTTCACGAAATATCTGCCCCTTTTTCTGCTGAACATTCACACGCTTCGACTTTTGGCACGAACTTCCTGTGTGGATTCCGCCCGTATAGCGCGATGCCGCCGTTCTAGCCTCATCCTGGCACGTGAAAAGGTATCTGTGGTTCTCCTTACTTTCTGTCGTCCGCTCTTGCGGCTGTATGTTTGGCTGGCTTGGTACACACAAGCCGCATGGCAGTTTGCGCGCAAGAAACGTGATTCCATTCCAGATATCAAAAACTTGACCGTCGTTTTGAATAATAATGGGTTGCTTGTTTTGGACAAGAACCCAGAGTTGCTGGTTAATAGTACTAGACCATGGACGAATATTTTGTCATTACAAGCACAAGTAAATGGAATAATCCGTCTAGTTTTAGGTTTTTTTCAAATTTCCTGAATACGCCAACTTCAATCTAGAACATTTGTTTCATTTTGTCAATCGTCTGGATGCGCCGACAAGTGGCCTGGTTTGTTTGGCTTGCACCCCGGAAATGGCCAACCTTGTAAATGGACATGCCTATGCTTTTGTTATATGGCCCCATGACAGTTCAAGAGTCCAGACACGTTCGCATTGCAGTACTGTGCCTCTGTACGTACAGAGGTGCGCCCACTTCTGTGCACGTGTGCAGATGAAGTACTTTCTAGAATTACGACTTAGAATTTGGGCTTGAGCGAGCAATACGCGTCCTTCGAGTAGATCAGTAAGAGGGGCTCAGGACATGCTCACCCACGCCTTTGGCGTCAATTAACCTTCCGCGCCCCATGTCTTTTTTCCAAATGAAGAGGTAATTTGGCTTGCATATCAAACTTTACAGACGCCATTGGAAAAGTGACTGTGGAATCAGTCCTCAATCCCTACTAATTAGATTAGAGGATAGTTCGGCACAACTGCCATGGCAGTAGGATTGTGACTATGGGTTGTTGACTGTAAACACCTTTTGAATGGCCTTTGGTTGTTAAATCTGGATTAGTTAGGACTATTTGACAAGGGAACTCTGGCCAGTTTCTTATGTCTAAGCCAACTAGGCGGTAGGCTCATAATGCGCGGCAAATCCCCACTGCCTCCATTTATAAGAAACTCCGTAATACATTTCACGCGAATTTTGCTTCCATCCCAAAACGCTTTCCGAATGATGCCAGCTGTACTACGTCGTTTTAGTTATGTTAAAATTTACCCAATACGTCATTTCCACAGCGAGTCCTTCCAAAACTGAGATAAATTTTACTTCCCAAGGTAGGTCGCGCATTCCAAAACCGAACTGTCAAAAAACAGTACCTGGCCATTGTTTGGGGTCATGTCAGGAACTCTGCTAGCCGCCCCCCTAACTACGACCGTCGGGGAAAATATACTACGTTTCCTCCGCTCGACGGCAAGACCTCGGTATGCCAATGCGTAAGAGACGGAGAATACCTCGTGGACCTGCCAATTGGAGGCTACAGCTTCGTCTGGCCTGATGGGAGGAGACAAAAAATATGCGCTCCTGTCTTTGCGCTTGGCTGCACCGTAAGTCAGCCTGTCATCGCGTCCTGCGCAAGCCTTGTTTCATCGTTCTTTTTGTTAACGAATGGCGTAATTGTCCTTCAGAGACCTCGCAGCGCCCAGACTAAAATAACCGTTTTGCGACACGGCTACCTTAACGATCTTCCAGCCAGCTACGTGCTGCTAGAGCCCTTGACTGGCAGGCGGCACCAGCTCAGAATCCACTGCGCTGTCGGCCTAGGACACCCAATTGCCGGGGATCTAATCTACGCTCGATTACACGCTACCGATGACGTCTACGAAGCTGCTAACTATCCGCTTCATCGTATGATGCTGCACGCATATCGCCTAGACCTTAATCTTCTGCCAAAGCGATCTTCGTTTAGAAAGAGCAAGTATGCGATGTCCGAAGAGTCGCGCCCGTCCGAGCTTCGTTTCGATCTCCAGTCGTCGTATAATCTCTTGACGGACAAGAGCACTCGATGGACCGATGAGGAAGTCTTTGAAACATTGTGATTCAAGTTGAAGGACTCGCCGTACTTTCTGTACATCAGCATTTGTTCACTGTAAAGCTATTCTGACCACGTATTCTCCGGTTCTGCAATCTGTAATTAGGGTGCTGCCAGCATCAGACTGACCGTTATAGTGAGGTTTGTGCAAATTGAACAAGGATAGTTGGGCCAGGCGAGCGTCTCCAGGGTGACTTAGACCCGAAGAGCGTCGCCCTGCCTATCTCCTCATCTGGACGCGAAACGAGTCCCGCGGCGAAGCTCTTGCCAGCATTTACTTGCGAAGCTTAGAAGCTTGTCCCGAGTTGGGCACAAGTTAATACTTTAGGCCGTGATCTAATTAGGTTCCGCAAGGTCCTGTTGGTCACCTCCAGTCCCTTAGTCAGAGTATCGTTAGTTTTTAAAAAAAACCAACACTGACGAGCGGCATAAACTCGTAGAAACCACCGCCAGTCAAAGCTCTTTTGCGACCAAATTTCGGCCTCAGGCACCCCGTGATGCCATGCTCGGTTTTGTCATCGTGAGCGGTGACCGGTAGCCTTTGGCATGCCTCTAAATTGTGAATGTCGGACAATTTTGCGGTCGGCGAACTAATACGGTGCTGCACCAAATGAGTGATATCTGCGGCCCGATATACTTAGTTCCCCAGTAGTTCGCCTGCCGGACAGGTGGGTCATTAAAGCTCTCCCGCCATTTTCACTAGTTAGGTACGCAACAGTTTAGAAACCGCGACATTTTAACGTGGAAAATGGCGAAAGTCGAAATATGATGAAAAGAAAGCAGTCAAATCGGTGCGAAAGTGTGTTCTTAGTCCAATTATTCTGTCATACAAAAGTAGATTAAGTAGAAAAATGTATTGGGTAGGTCGTAGGGGTCCTGGGGAAGAAAGTCATCGAGTGCAGTCGGCCGTAAGCAAGCGATAGATCTGGTACACCGACGGGACTTTAGGACTTGGCCGGGGTCTTAGCCTGCAATTAGAGGCAAAACAATAAGATCTGGAGACGCATCGATCGAACCGGCCCTCATTTAGCGTTCCAGCGGAAGGCCGGACCGCTTGCGAACTCGAAGTAATTCAAAAAGCGGCTGCTAACGGAAGATCGGATTCTTAATGCGGTTCCGAATGATAGCTGGCACGCAACTTACCAAAACAAGTCATGCCAGACGTCATGGGTGCAGATTATACAACAGTTTCAGTGTAGGGTCGCATTGGACAAAACTCCAATAATCACGTCTTAGGCCAAATAATTAGGCCTTAGAAATCACAGTAGAAATAGCAAGGATGCAGGTGGTTGGGCGCTCTGTGCGTATAAGCAACTCACGACAGCTACGCTAGGTGGCGTGTCTAATAAACATTGCTCGAAATTTCGAAATGCGATCTCCCTTGACATTACTTGTGCAAAGTTGCAATATCGAGCACCATTTAGTATAATCTCAAAGTTTAATCTACATCAGGATACCGGCTCCTGAATACATGTCTCTCTGACCGCCTGCAAAGCCACACCCGTCAAGAATTGACTACTGAAGTAGTGTGTCTCATTCATTGATTCTTGACGTCATTAGAAATGCAAACAATTTTCCAGAAACTATGCACAAAAATACTCGCGATAATGCTCGTTCTTTAGCAAATTACGTTTGCGAATTCTCTACCCGAAGAAAGGGTACCTTTCAGCACTGAGTTTTCCCGTTCTAGAATGATTTTGAATCCGACCTGTCATTTCACTAGCGTCAAGTATTTCTAGACTACAAGCCGTACACCTATTTAAGAAAAACCATAAGCAACAGAGCAGGTACGAACAAAGGACTAAGAGTTAGAGAAGATACGTCTTCCTGTGAGATTATGCCGTAATCGGACTTATCCTAAGAAAGCTGCTGCAGTTCGGAGTTATGGTTGAGGCGCAAACCCCGATGACGGCATTGTGACATGGCGACCGCAAACCGCCATCCAGTAAGTTTGTCGCCATCGCTGCCTTGCGGTTAGGCTTTTAAGTCAAAACGCTAAGGGAGACAACCTCGAACAATCCGAGCGGCTATTGGGGACCCGCTTGTATTCGAAATTCCCCAGAAACCTAATGAAATTTGTCCGATCACAGTATTACGACCAATGCTACGGTATCCGCGGGAACCGACGCTCCCCGCAATCCTGGTCCACTGGTGCGGGCGAGTAGTATGTGAGCTGGACTACTCTATCGGGGATGGGCTCTTAATATAGCATGCTGGGATCGCGGACGTTCTACGACCCAGGTAGCAACAGTCTGATCACGTACAGCCTTAATCGGTACAACGTGTATGTCTACTGCTTGTCTGAAGTTCGACTTCCTGACTCAGGCCCTCAAGAAATAAAGATCCCTGGTGTCAAATCACACTTCACCCTGTACCACAGCGGCCCGCGCGACTCTTCTAGTAGACGCGGTGTGGCTATCGGCCTTTTGCAACAAGCGGACCTCGCGTTACTTGCTTGGGAACCAGTCAATGACCAGATAGCCTACATGCGACTGAAGGGGCACTGCACGAACATCTCCATCGTCTGTGTATAAGCACCAATTTCAACTGCCAAAAAGCGTGATAAAGAGGTGTTTTACTCGCAGGTGCAAGCGTTAGTTGAAAGACTCCCTCGCTGCGATCCGCTGATTGTTGCTAAAATTGGAATAGTCGGAGTAGACCTGGCGACTCCACAAACAGTCATCTTCTTGGCTGCTTTGGGCTTGGTTACCGATGAAAAAATGGCGAAAGATTGCTGAACTTCGCTGATCAGAACCGACTGCTTGTCACCAACACGTGTTTCAAGCATCACAAAACACATATGCTGACCTAGTATTCAAACGACGGTCATACGGCCAGTCGACCTGACTAAATATTAGTCAGGTTTCGCTGCTGGGTTCACGATAGCAAATCGATGCGTGGTGCCAAGACGGGTAACGTTCATGGGTTGGACCATGTCCTCGTTCGTACATGCTTAAAAGATCACCTCTCATTCGCGAAAAAAACGCCACGTCCTAGACGTCCCGATGTCGCAAAAACCCCGCAAACCAGCACTGTCGAGGCCCTGAGCAGAGATATCCGGTCCTGTTTTGCGACCCGAGGAGACGGAGAAGGCAGTAAAAAGTGGTCGTTACTCAACGCCTGTCTATGCGGAAGATAGGAAGGTCCCTGGATATACCCAGCGACGCCGAAGTGACTGGATAAACGGAGGAACCCTGCCGTTGTCAGCTCAGACGGCTCCAGCCAGGTCTCGTAATGATTATTTCTTCCGCCAACTTCAAAAAATGAAGGCAGGTCGAACACGGATGGTCGGAAGCAATATTAGGCTGAAATAGCGACCTCCACGGAATAGGCCTCGAACGTTGCTGACATTGGAAAATTCTACCAACCTATCCGCAAGTTAGTGGTAAGCCCTCTACACTGAGTGACTCTGTTCGCAACGTAAATGACGGCTTTATTGCTGACAACTCGGCCAAAGCCAAGCACTGACGTGAGCCCTCCGAGAACTATGTCAACTTCGATACCCAAGCCGCCACGTCTTTGCTTACCTCTGCATCTGAATTTCTTCCCTCCTCAATCTCGGCAGTGCGATTTGACACCCCCTTCCGAAGGAGACGTCGCACATGCCATACGAAAGCCAAGCACAAACAAGTAACACGAAGAGGTCGGTATACGCGCTGAAATCTACAAGTCCTGTGTCGAAACCGGCGCCCGAGCTCCATGGAGTGAATGAACGAGCGTGGAGAGGTGAAGTTGCTCCTGATGACGGAGGCACATGCATCCTAGTACCTATCCTCATGAAGGGAGATAAGACGAGATGCGAGAACTACCGCAGCATAAGCCTCACAAACGTTGCTGCGAAGATCTTCGCTATTGTCCTTCTCAAACGATTCCAGACTGTGCGTGACTCTAGGACGAGGCCCAAACAAGCCGGATTTCGCGTTGGACGTGGATGTGCGGACCAAGTATTCAAACGGAGGCGCATTCTCGAATCTCGCTATAGCTACGATCAACCGACGGACGCCTGCTTTGTTGACTTTGCGCCGCGTTCGATTCTGTCCATCGTGAGTCCCCTATGGCGGATAATGGCACTAGATGGTGTACCGCCAAAAACCATTGTCATGAT